CTAGTGTATGGTACCGGCAGAACGATCTGCGCGACCTCAGCAAAACCAGGGAACGTTTTACATCTCAAGCCCACAAAGCAGCCACATACAAGGCCCTGCCAAAAAGCCAAACACACAGAGCTCATGAGCCCACATGCGTTTGACGCCCTCGTAGCCAAACCTCCAAGAGCCAGACGGCCAGTCCACGACTTTGCAGGCGGGGGAGTCCTAACGGAACGGGGCAACATGGCCAATGGCAACACCCAGAACATGGCAACACCCAGTATCACTTCTGTAAAAAAATGGAATTGGCTGCTTGGCATCAACCAAATTTGGCTGGCCAAGAGCGACTGTGGCTCGAAAGTGCGTGGAAGCTTGATCCCACTCTCGCGCGGCTGCACACTTCTGCTTCAGGGAAGCTTCGCAATGTGGGCATGAGATCAAAAGACCTACCTTCGTGTGCACGCGTATGTCCATATATATTTATATATTTATATATTATATATTTTTCTATCACGGTATATATGTGTTAAGATACATCCACCCTTGTACATTCCCTTGCACCTTTACATGATCAAGGCCTTGAGCCTGTATACATTGGAGACACTGCTTGCGCCCGAGTACAACAAGCGCCGTGCTGTCACACACAGGTCATCAGGTGTTTACACTGTCAATCCAACTTTAACATGGTAGCGGAGCAGTGATCCCTGGTACACGATCCTACTACACAACCCAGGGTGAGCTCCAACACGCACTCACAGGTTGAGGTACATAGTCGTGAGTAACATGGCACAACAACAACAAGATCAGCAACCACAACAGCAGCAGCTGGAAGGAATCCACAAATACAAGATATCACCACCACGCTTCAATGGCGAATACAACACCTTCGACGAATGGAAGTACAAGATGATAGCATACCTGGGACTACAAGATCCAGACTACAACAGACTGCTTAGACAGTCAGAGCAATCAACAGGATCAGTTACAAATGACCAACTTGAGAATGCAGCACCTTCACAACAAGTTGCAGAGCAATGGATACAACTGAGCACTAGTGAGCACGTGCGATGGACCAGCATCTACAATCTGCAGACAAAACCTGCAAGGCAACGGATTCGAAACATGGCGGCTTACACATGCAAGGTACTCCATACCTCTTGGTACAAGGAGCATTGGATACCTTACAAAGCTGCTCAAACCACAACTCGATGAACAGAAGTTCGAAGAGAGCTTTACAACATGGGAATTCCAAATCTCAAGGTACGAACAAGACAACACTACACTACTACCAGACGCAGGGGAATCGCAGTGCTACTCAATGAAACAAAAGGACCACTACAGCAGCATTTACAGCTACAAGCAGGAAACATCACAACATACGCACAGATCAGATCGATGGTGATCGAGTATTACAGAGCAACAGCGTCATTCACCAGACTACAGTCAATCACATCAGGCAGCAACAACAATCAAGGACCGGCACCAATGGACATAGGAGCAACATGGTACAACAAAGGAAAAGGAAAGAAGGGCAAGCGCAAAGGCAAAGGAAAACACAACAAAGGCAAAGGCTACGGCGGCTACGGCAACAACTTCGGCTACAACAACTACAAAGGAGGAAAAGGTAAGTACAATCAACAACCTGTTGGACAAGGCAATCCTTTCAAAGGACAACAAGGATATTCCAAAGGAAAAGGATACAACAACAACAACAACAACAACAAAGGAAAAGGAAAAGGATACTACAGCAACCAACAAGGAGGAAAAGGATCAAAAGGAAAGCAAGCAACAAATGTTTGCTACAGATGTGGACAACCAGGACACATGGCCAAACAATGCAGAGCGGCGATCTACAACTGCGATACTGGCAACTTCGACACCAATGACCAGACAGATGACTGGTACAGTCAGTCACACTGTGACAACAACTGGTACCACCAGGATCAGACACACATGCAACAACTAGCATTACCACAACCACCACAAACGGCGGATCCATTAGCAGTACCCATCTCAGGATTACAAGAAGTAACAGTTGCCATGATTGGCACAGCGCAACAACACTCAGAAGACAACAAGTGGGTCAGTCTTATGATTGACAGCGGTGCGGCTACACATGTATGCCCACCATGGTGTGCACCACACTTTCCACTACACCAACTTGAACATGGAACAGGACCACAACTCAGAACAGTGACCAACCAGCACATCGAGCTTTATGGGTACAGATGGGTTTGCATGACAAACCACAGCGGACAACAAATTGTCATACCATTTTAAGTTTGTGAGGATAAAAAAGAGCCGATTCTTTCAGTTACAAGGCTGGTGGAACAAGGTTTCCAACTTACATTGGATGACAATCCAAAGCTACATCACATCAAAGGATTTAACAGCACACTGGAGAGCAGAAATGGCCTGTTCTTCCTACAACCAGAAATCACAGCATTGCCAAAAGGAACAAAGCTACAGATGCACAACACGGACCAAGGACAGATCGGCATGATAGCACCGACCACAACATTGACACCACAAGGTCCTGCAGACACAGGTTATGCAGGAGATTTCTGGCAGTTCAACACACAAGGTGAACTTGTAAGAGTACACAGGCAACACAGAAAAACACTCTTCACACCTTCGAGAACACAGTGTCCAGTCCCAGCAGAACAACTGGAGGACTACAGGAAAACAACCATCAGACTCAAGGATGGTACAACGAACACACTTGAAGACAAGTATCAAACAATGGAAGTGCCAAACAGAGCACAACCGCAAATGTGGAAAGGAGAAACAACATTCAGGATCAAAAAAGGCACAACATTGCCAGAGGCAATACAGCAACAGCTTGCAACAAAGACACTGCCAAAAAGTGCACCACAGAAGGTGACACCACAAGTGATTCAGTACAGACCGCGCACACGGCTGAGGGAGAAAACAACACCACCAACATTTCAGGACACATCTGCGCCACACACCACTAAAGGCGCAGCTGGACAAGGACTTCCACATCCTTCAGAAGTACATCATGGAGGAGACTACTGGTACAGAGAAGGCCCATACTGGAAGAGAGTACATGTTGAGCCTAGAACAGCGTTTTACATACCAGAGCAGACACACGACGGGCCAGACATCAAACGACTCATACCTTGGAGACAGACCAAGGTACAACCAGTGGGAGGAGAAAGACAGCACACAAGGTTGATAGAAGATGAATGGACAACACAGCCAGCAAAGACATCAGACAAGCCTTGGACAGGCTGGACAAACTTTGAGGAACATCAGAAGTTCCCAACACAGCTCGAGTCAGATGATGAAGAACAACAACAAGGCACAAGAGCAAACGCAGCACAGGCGCCCAAGCAACCTACACCACAGGAGATTTTGGAGCACAATGTCACACACCTCCCTTACAGGAGTTGGTGTCCGATATGCGTACAAGCAAGAGGCAGACGAAACAACCATCCAAAACAGCACAGCAAGCTTCCTATTATACAGCTCGACTTCGGCTACATCAAAGGCTTCGGTGACAACAAGGTACATCCAATCCTCACAGCAGTTGACATCCAATCAGGGATGATCATGGCAATACAATTGACCGACAAGAGGATGCTCTTCGACTATGCAGTCACACAGCTACAGCACTTCCTCATTGAGTGTGGAAGAACAACACACACAATACTACAATCAGATCAGGAGATTTCCTGGCAGCACTCATTACCACAGTAGCAAGCAAAAATGGCAACATCACAACCCGGAACTCAGGAGCATACAGTTCACAATCACAAGGAGGAGTAGAACGAGCACACAGAACATTGTTTGCACAAATCAGAACACTCAAGGCGCAGATCAAGCAAAACTACAACAGAGACATTCCAATGAAACATCCACTCATGCCTTGGATCGTCCGACATAGTGCATACATTGTGAACAGGTACGCTTTGCACAGCAATGGATGCACAAGCTACTTCAACAGATGGAACAGAGAACAGCATACACCATTGTGCGAGTTTGGTGAGACAGTGCAATACATGCTACCAACAGTAAAACAATTTCCAAAACTAGAGCCAAGGCTCTACAACGGGATCTGGTTTGGCAAGGATACAACTACAGGCGAATCCCTCATCGGGATCTACAACAAGATTGTCAGAGCAAGGACAATCAGAAGGCAGATAATGCCTCACAAATACGACCAGCAACTATTGGACTGTGTACACACAGGTCCATGGAAGACACCATCATCAGCACTGCCTACACCGACTCTCACACCACCAGTAACAATGCCATCAGCAAGCAAAACAATTACATCACAGAAGGACGCAGCAACAAGCACAGCAGCAGAAAACAAGAGACAAAGCACAGCACAGTCGAGCGAACAACAGCCAAAGCAGAAGAGGACAGCAGAGCCAACATCACCTATGGCTACATCACCGGCACATCAGAAACGACCATCACTGCCAGCACCACCGCACACATCACAGACACGAGAAAGAGATGACACAATAGCAGAAGGCAGCACCGGCAAGCAACAACGCACCACAGCAGAGAGACAAACCCTTGAGCGACCTACAACAGCAGAACAACCAAAAAGCAAGATGCGATTCAATGCCATCAAGTTCACAACAAAGGATGGTAGACAAATGGAGACAACCTCCAATGAAGACATACAAGAAATCGAAAATGAAAGGATCCCACTAGAGCCGATCATACATGACACAGAAGACCTGGATCCACAACGGGTAGCACAAGGCATGAAGAAGGAAGTACAACAAATGAAAGAACAATCAGTCTTTACAGAGATTGATGGCAACACAATGACACCAGAACAACAAGCGAACATCATTGAATCAAGATGGGTTCTAAAACCAAAACATAATGAAGTACGAGCACGCATAGTAGCAAAAGGCTACACAGAACCCGTTACAGACCATGACCTACTCTTCGCAAGTACACCATTGTTTTGCATTTTGAGAGTGCTTCTCACAATGTCACTGGTGTACAACTGGTCGGTCTGCACAGGAGATGTGAGTGTTGCATTTCTACATGCAGCAGCCATCACACACAATCTGGTAATGAGACCACCACACGAGTTCTACAATGAAGAGAACAGACACATAATGTGGCGGCTAAACAAAGCAATCTATGGTCTAAGATCATCACCGAAACAATGGCAAGACCACATAGCACACGTTCTCACAGTCACACTCGAATTGGTGAGATGCACAACAGAAGCAATGTCTACAGGTCAAAGGATTGCCTGGTCTACATTATGATCTATGTAGACGACCTCCTATTCATAGGGGTACAAAGCATCATCAACACACTGTTCAGCAGAATACAAAAGGAAGTTCTGCTTAGACACACCGGCGACCTAACAGTTGGATCAACAATCCACTTTCTTGGCGCCACTTGACCACGAACAGCACAAACGATACAGGCGGCTTGTTGGCAAGATACAATGGCTAGCATACGCACGACCAGACATCAGCTATGGAGCAAAAGAGCTAGCAAGGTCATTACAAGCACCAACACAGTTTGACAACAAGAAGCTCAAGCACATGATCAGGTACCTCAAGGGCACAAGGTACATGCGACACAACTTACGACCAAAGATACAAACACAGGACAAGCGAATACCACTCAACATTGACACATACACAGATGCCAGTTGGGCATCATGTGAAACAACGAGAAAGAGCACAACAGGATTTGTACTGTACTTCTTTGGAGCAGCAGTACATTATGGCAGCAGAACACAAGCCACAATAGCACTTTCATCAGCAGAATCAGAACTGTACGCAATCGGTACAGCAGCACAGGAAAGCCTCTACATCAGCAACTTCATAAAGGAAGCATTTCAAGTACGCATCAACATCAGGATTCAATAGCAATGAGAGAAGGTACATCAAAGAAAGCAAAACACATCGAGCTACGACACCTCTTCATACAACAACTTGTCAACAGCAAAATCATTTCAATGCACAAAGTAAGGTCTGAAGACAACCCAGCAGACCTGCTGACAAAGTTTGTCAGCTGCGACACTCTCAACAAGCACCTGTACAACGTTGGCCTGTGAGGTCACACAACACCAGTTTCACACAGTTGCACAGTATGTTAAACAACAGTTGCTCAGTTGACACACGTGTATGTTTCACAACTAAACAGCCGGCACACATGTTTTAGCTTTAGGTTAGGTACAGCCATGGACCTGCCCTGGAGAAAGTACAACCTTTCTGGTTTAGATACACAACTTTGGGTTCTTTGTTGTCTTTACGACTTTGACCACCTCTTTTACATCCTCAGGTACATGTTTACTGCATGAGGTTCCATACATGTTTCAGACAGTGTCTTTGTATGTCTGTCGCAGCCATTTTACATTTGGTGAGAACCTTCCCTGTACATTGAAGGTACAACATGGCCATGACAGGACTCACAAGGATTGTCGAGCACAGCCCGGCAACAGAGATCACAGTGGCAAGGACATGGGACGCGGTGAGTCTCACATCCTTAGCCTACATCGAGGAGAAAATAACCGGCAAACAGCCCCTGCGCACATTGGGTGGAATCCACATGGACACCATCCAACACAAATCCAACATGATGTACATCGCCATGACATTTGAGGAGTTTACAGCATGGACCACAAATGGAGAGCTGAGACACATTCATGGCTGGGCCAGAAGCCCAGAGGTTGACTACATTGTGTTGAACCGCTCCCCGTTTGAGGCGGTTACAACACTGTTGAACTACATCTCTGTAGGGACATGCCGCACACAGCACTTGGACACATTCATCGTGGCTACAGTGCAGTTGGATGCAAGGCACATCGCTGAATGGGCATCCCGTGGTTACATCAACTTTTTCAATCGTGGCTACAGCGCAGTCCACATGCAGATCCACATGAACAAGACATGGGTTCAGACACGGGATGAGCTGTTGAAACATCAGGTCTTCAAGTACACGGGCAACAATGGATTGCTCGGGATCTACATGAAGTACAACTGGAGCACAGGGTACATTTGGTCTTACAACGCTTGTGTGAATCTTGAACAACTTGCCACAGATGAGGACACAAGTCGCAGGCACGCTACAGCAGCACAGGCATTGTCCTTGATGGGCGTGGCCAGCATCAAACATTTGCCACCTGCACATCAGGTGACACTTGTGAAGCACATTTCGATGCAGGATGCGCACAGCCTCAACACTCGCGGCACAATTGATGGACAAGCGGTACCAGGCCATCCGGATCACATTGCCTACATCCTCGAACAGCAGCACCTGTTCTACATGAACTATGCTGCAACCAAGGCAAAGATCTACAACGAGTACCTCACAGGAGTGAAGCAGGGATCCACACTGCTCACACAGTGATTGCCATTTTTGGCACACCGGATTTTGTGGATACATGGTGTTGCAGACACACCTGGCAGACATCAGGCTACACATGCAGTTTGTACAGACGTTCGATACACTAGAGGCATCGATGTATAAAGCGAAACAGCCAGTAGAGTTGATAATAACTTTTACATCACCTCGAACAGCTAGAACACAACTGTTTGGCTTCATCAATCCAAGGTGGGGTGTTAAGATACATCCACCCTTGTACATTCCCTTGCACCTTTACATGATCAAGGCCTTGAGCCTGTATACATTAGAGACACTGCTTGCGCCCGAGTACAACAAGTGCCGTGCTGTCACACACAGGTCATCAAGTGTTTACACCGTCAATCCAACTTTAACAATATGTATACATGTGTATATATATATATATATATATATGTATATATATATATATGGGTCGCCCCCCCACCCAAGATCCACCCCCAGCTTTGGACACGGCTAAAACACTGCCAAAACACTGTAATTTACAGTGTTTTGAGCAGTTTTCTACTGTTTGAAGCAGATGAAAAGTAAAACGGATTTCGTTTAGATTTCACACTGTTATTTTCTGATGGATCCTGGACAAGATGTGATGCTGGCAGATGTTTTGGTTTGAGTAGGCATTTTCATGAAGTATTTGCAGCAATTTTGAGCCCGAAGAAGGATAGGCAAGCAGAAGTTTGAAGATGATTTGTGATTGAAGTTCTTGAACATGTTAAAAAACCTCCTTTTTATTGAATAGTTTCAGTTTGGGAAGGTCATGGTGCTCAAAGTGCTGTACTGTGCCCTTTTTTTGTTTTCAATTCAAAAAATTAGGGACAGCACAGCACTTTGGACATCAGGGTGCTCAAAGTGCTGTACTGTCCCTATTTTTTGTGTTTCCAAAAGAGGGACAGTACAGCACTTTTGAGGTCAGGGTGCTCGCACTCAAAGTGCTGTACTGTCCCTATTTTTTGGCTTTACAGCCAAAAGTGCTGCACTGTCCCTAAAAAACTTAAAAAACCTATTATTTCAGAGTCAAGAGCCTGAGACCTCCAAATAATTGGTTTTTTTAAACGTTTTAGGGACAGTGCAGCACGAGTTGCTCTCCAAAGCCAAAAAATAGGGACAGTACAGCACTTTTGAGGTTAGGGTGCTCCAAAGTGCTGTGCCGACCCTGGTTTGGCTTTACAGAGCCAAAAGTGCTGCACTGTCCCCAAAAAACCTAAGAAAAACAATTATTTCAGAGTCTTGCATGGCCAAGAGCCTGAGACCTCCAAATAATTGTGCTTTGTTTAATGGTTGTTCATTTATGTTTTATGTGTTTTAGGGACAGTGCAGCGCTTTTGGCTCTCCAAATCCAAAAAATATGGACAGTACAGCACTTTTGAGGTCAGGGTGCTCCAAAGTGCCGTACTGTCGCTAGTTTGTTTGCTTTGGAGAGCCAAAAGTTATGTACTGCCCCTAAAAAACATGGCAAAATAGTGGAAAAAACAATCATTTGTAGGTCTCAGGCACTTTGCCATGCAACGTGTAAGAACAATTCTATTGGAAAAGGAATTCCCGTGTGACATTTACGTTGAACTAGATTCATCATAATTTATAATCTAATTTAACATATACAATTTGATTGGAGTCTGTCCTTAATAATTTCTAGTTAATGTCAGTCAGACGTTGAGTAGAATTTGGTAAAGATATTGAGTAGATTTCAGAAGGAGAGAATTCTGAGGTCAGAAATTGTGTTTTTGTGTGTACTCAGAAAACACTGTAAAACACAGTGTTTTGTAGCGTGTTTCGTACTCAATTCACATCTCCACCAACGGCCGCTCTCTAAAATCCAGTTTGAATTTGACTAGGATTTCAATAGGACTCAATAAGGAAGTACTTGATCAGAATCCTACTGGAAGTTACATCTTACATTTAGAACTTAGATGTAAATCCTTGCCCAATAGAACATTACAATTCTAAATCAAAGGTTAAACATAACTTGATAAGGAATTAGAATAATTCTAGTTTAATTGATAGTTTACACAGTATGTTCTTTCCAATCAAATTTATTTACAATTCGCTGACATTTAAACACACCTTATGCAAATATAGTTCAACGCGAGTTTCCACTCAAAAAGTGAAAAACACGCACGCTCACAGCGTCCTGCTCTCAAAAGGAATTATATATATATATATATATATATATTCACACCCAAAAAAAATGGACACCAAAATATACTCAAAACAGCCCAAGGGTGGATCTTGGGGGGGGGGGGAGGGGGGCGAGTATATATATATATATGTATATGTAGAATGGTCCAGAAGGCTCCGCCTCTGAGCCCTGACAGTCCCCCCAAACCGCGGCCGACGAACACTTCCATTGCTACGCTCACGAAAGCCGCGCCTGGACTGTCCCACGAGTGGCGTGGAAGACGAACGAATTAGGAAGTTCGAGGCAGCCCTGGCACGGTTGCTCCGAAGCTCCCATGTAAGCCACGGTCAACATAACCTTGTTTCAGAGGACATGCAAGATCAGTAGTGAGTGTTCAGGGTTGTGGGGACATTTATTGAGTCTCACATGTTTTTCCCAAGCAAACCACAGACCACCGAACCTCATGTGAATGTCCGGGTATACGGCATGCCCAGCCAAGTCCAGTTCAAGGCCTAAGGACCTTCGTTTCACGGGCCACTAAAGATCTGGGCTGCGGAACGCGGCAGATTTGCACTCCGCGACATAACACTGGTTGGTGTCTTCTTCTTCTTCTTCTTCTTCTTCTTCTTCTTCTTCTTCTTCTTCTTCTTCTTATTAGTCTTCTTCTTCTTCTTCTTCTTCTTCTTATTCTTCTTCTTCTTCTTCTTCTTCTTATTAGTCTTCTTCTTCTTCTTCTTCTTCTTCTTCTTCTTCTTCTTCTTCTTCTTAGTCTTCTTCTTCTTCTTCTTCTGGTATGTCTTCTTCTTCTTCTTCTTCTTCTTCTTCTTCTTCTTCTTCTTCTTCTTCTTCTTCTTAGTCTTCTTCTTCTTCTTCTTCTTCTTAGTCTTCTTCTTCTTCTTCTGCTTCCTATTATTATGTTTTGTCTCCTGCTCCTCCTCCTCCTTCTCCTCCTCCTCCTCCTCCCCTCATCGTCGTCTCCTCATCCTCCTCCTTTTGCTTGTTCTTCTTCTTTTTCTTCTTCTCCTCCTCCGTCTTCTTCCTCCTCCTCCTGCTCCTGCTCCTGCTTATTATTTGTTTATTTCTTCTTCTCCTCCTCCGTCTTCTTCCTCCTCCTCCCCCTCCTGCTGGTTCTTCTTCTTGTTCTTCTTCCTCTTTTCTTCTACTTCTCTCCTCCTCCGCCTCCTCCTCCATCCTTCCTGTACAAGTACAAGCGACACATCCGCATGCCTGTGCTCAGGCTTCTGTTCTCACGGCAACTCTTCCATCTACCCGAGGGCATCGACACTCGCCAACCCAAAAGGCATTGGGGCGACACCCACGCCTAGCAGAGCCTCGCTCCTGCGTAGCAAAGCAAATCGAAGGCTGCAGAAAAGAAGGGCCTGTCCGTTTTTCCCGAAGGCCATTCAGGGGCCATTGATGTTCCTTTCAAAAGGAGCAATTGAAACCTGGGTTCCAATTCAACTGCCCCTTTGGGAGGTCCGAAAAGGGAAATCGAGGGTCTGCTATGAGCATGCAATGGCTTTCAGCGGCTGCCTGCCGGGGAATGACTCTCTGAACCCCCGGCACCTGCCTTGGGTGCACATACCTTGCTCGGGGAGTAGCCAGCAGCCGATGCAGAGCCTTGGCCCGAAACGTTTCACCCACTGCGTTCAGCGTTACGAAGAGCTCTCATGGGAACTTTCATGCGTGACTCCAGTCATCCCTGAGAAAGTGCATATGGGATGGCACCCTCAGTCACAACTCATCAGTTCAATGGTCGGGCACCCTGGGCAAGGCTGAGGCTCCTGCGAGTCACAGTCCTCTTTGGGCCTCAGCTTGGAGCTTGCAGCTGAAATTCCGGAGGCCGTGATCTGGTCTGAGCGCCAGGACCCTGACCAGCCGGCTCCTGCGTGCTTCGCCGGCGGCCTGAAAGCCCTTTTGCTGGGCCCGGTGCGCCATTTTTTGAGGGTACTCTTCTTGGGTGTTGAAAGGAATTCCAAGAAAGAAGTATTTCTTTGGCACGGTCCCTTCTTTCAACACATATTTAGACACGCACCCACTTGTAGAACCTAGGTATCTTTAAAAAACTATTGACTTATAAGTATGTATCCTTACTTCGTCTGTAAAAGTATTTTACTTTGCAAATCATGGCATTTAGAAGTTGCATCAGATTCGTGGTGTTGTCGAATGAACTGTTCTATCGGTTCAATATTTGCAAACATCATAGTTCTATTTATCTTTGCAGGATATACGCTTTATCGTTGGACTAGAATTCAACTCTCGTGGAATCAGTTTATTGTATGAACTAATCTTAAATAATATGGGATAATGAACTACTGAATATGTTATCTCATTAATAAAATGGCTTCTAGTTTCTCAAGCTCATGATGTGTATCCTTCTTTTGGGCACCTTTTCATTCCATTTTAGGGATGTGGCCAGATCCTTGTACTAGCAAAAGTCCGGCACCGCCTCTCACATTCGCTACCACTAGCCAAAGTGCACTGAAGGTCCTTAGGACCGGCACCCAAGACTGCTTCCAGAGAGGTTCTGGATTCCAAGCTCTGGGAATCCGAGCTACACATTGGCGATGTCCAAAAGGAACCCACGAAACCAGAAGCAGGGAGTCCCGGAGTCGCCGGTCCTATTCCCTCCCCAAAGTCTCGGAGACAGCCCGGCCGTCCTCGCGCACCAACTCTCCTGGTTCCGAAGGACCTCTCCGCTCCCTCTGCTTTTGGTAAGCTCCGGTTTGCGCCTGTTTCCGCAAGGATATTCCGACTCTATCCAAACCAAGCAGAATGAGGCTTGTTTGTCCCAGGTGGCCATTCCATTCAAATAATATGATAACCCATTCGCATTGCTCTTGGCACATCTGATCTATCTGGATCTCTTCAGAGAGTCTGGGCGGGCACAGATCCATCGAAGCTCGCGAAGTGTCAGCCCCCTTGCCTCGAGCATCCGGCGACCAGGGAGCCGTGGCGGGAGCCTGAGGGCTCTGCACATCGAGGTCGCCGCGCTTTACCCGAATGGCTTGGGCAGAGGGGCAAAAGAACATGAACATCAATTTAGGATCTGAGATCTACAGATTGGCATCTCCCTGCCAAACGCACAACCATTCCTTCTCCCATGGTAGCTTGCGGCTCCATGCTGGTGGCAATGAGATAGAAACATAAGGCGAGTTGCGCAACGTCGCAAAGGGAGGAGATCGTGCATCGCTATCAATGCTCGTTGGAATGCCTATGTCAATAGTTTTGAACTTGTTGCACAGCACCTGGGAACTTGTGTTTGAGGGAACTGCCTGTCAAAATGCGAGCGTGTGCAATCATCCTCAAAGCTTGGGCTTCGCAGGTGTTCGAGCATAGAAACCATCATGCTGGGCGCTCATAGGTATCTAGCAATCTTGGGACTCGCGGCTGTGGGAAGCAAACTACCCAACCCTTCAGCGGTCGAAAACAATTGGTTGCAATGCCGTTGTTGTTTTTTTCTTGTTTTTTTTTCCGGATGTCTAGTCTAACTTGCACCCACCCATCCCAGAATCCTACCTTGCCAAACAAGCCCTGCGAGCGCAACCCGAGCGTCGCCTGCTGAAGGACCGCCGGGGATGGCGGCACAGTGGCCGGGCCCTGACACAACACCGCGCTTTCTGGCAGGAAATTCCAACATGCCCTTCCAACAAGGCAAGCTGGCAGGAAATTTCGGGAAGACATTGGTCCTCTTGAAAAGGCCTCCTGTCCACTGGATTGGTGGAAAGAGAGTATAAGACCCTGTTGGACCACGCTTCGACTTTGTTTCCTGTCCTTGAATTCTTTCTTGGGGATAGGAAGGAAATGGTCTTGCCGCAGTTGTTTCGGCACACTCTTGAGCTGCTTCAAATGGAGCATGAAATTTAAAGCAAGCAACTGGCGGCAACGCTCCCGGTTGCATGGTCTTTCTCTTCTCTCATGCTCCAAACAGACTCTGATCCACAGCAAAATCGCATCAAAGCAAACCGAATGACTCGCAATCTCCTGACCGGCAAGCCATTGCGGAACACATTGGTCTCAGCCTCACCCCACGTCAGGTCCAGCGTCGGCCAAACCTGCATCCAAAGTGCCCCGTGCAAACTGAAGAGCCTGGCAAGGACCTCGCCATGTGGTGGTGCAACATGTCAGAGAAAGAACACCCCTGAGAGAAGTGTGTTGGTTTCGCAAAACCCGCATCTGTTGCTCGCCGATGGATCGATCCAGCCCTGTCCAAGGGCCGAGCCAAGCCGCGGCCAGGGCCGAACCGAGGTTTCAGCCTGCGTCGCTTGAGGGTACTGTGACCGTTTTGGGGTTGCTTAAAGGGAAACCAAAATAAATCACGCACTTTTTGTTTGCTTGTTTGATGACTTTTCCTCAAGAGGACGTGGGAAAAGTTGGGTGGGTCTCCGTTTCTGGTGGCTTACATATGGGCCCCGCCCCCCATGCCCTGCCAAACTAACAATAGACCAGCAGTTGTGCCAGCTCATGTGGCTGTAGTGGGAAAGGACACCGAAAATTGGAAGCTGCTTTTCAGGGCTCGGAATTCCACCACTTGCAAGGCACAAGTTCAACGCACTGCCATGCGTCATGCCGCCGGTGCTGTGTGCAAAGCTCGCTGGAGCTTCGGCTTGAACGTGTGGCAAGCTTGTGGCTGAAGTCGGATTGAGTTTGAATCTGGCCAACAAATGTGTTCGATAGCTGAAAACTGGTATACTGGGCAGGGCGTCGGGTTGGCGCTGGAAGCAGTGCGGCTGTCCCAAACAATCACTCGGGTGAGGTGACAACAGCTCATTGACACTAGATCAGGACAATAACGGCGTTCCTTAGGGGGGGCATCCAAAAACCAGCTGCTTTGCAAGAGAAGCTTCTAATCAGCTAGTTCAAACGCTGGGCCAAATGCATCCTGGCAGCCCTGTCAGAACCGACACCCGCACAAAACAACCAAACCTAAACATCCCTGAACCTTCAATACCTAAGCTACGTATTTTGATCGAACGCCACCTTCCTCCTGGAGAAGCCGAGTTCTTCTTGCTTCAAGAGAAAAGGGGAAAGTTTCCCAAGTTGGGGGACATGTTCCCATTTTCAGGGGAAACGGGGAGCGTGTTCCCATTTTTCGGGAAACGGGGAGCGCGTTCCATTTTTCGGGAGACGGGGAGCGCGTTCCCATTTTCAGGGGAGCATGTTCCCATAAAATGATTGTGTACGACTCTTCATCTCAAGATCCTTCATCTCCAGGTACAGCATTGGTTGATGTGTAAGACATGTTGCAGATAAGCGTGCCATGGCAGGGCCCTACGGAAGAACAACATGCCGGCTAGACTGCGAAGACTCGACCTGGGGTGTCGTACGACGGCTGCCGAAATGTGTGTGGAAGCGGCAACAGCAAGCGCTTCTCATGAGGCTTGAAACTAGATTCCTCGCTGAGGATCTTTGGCAAGAAAAACAAACCGGTTGAAACAAAGCACTCCTGACACAAAATGTGAAATTAGTCTCTGACGGTGTTCATCTTGTGTTGTCACGCCAAGTTGCCCTGTTTCCGTTCCTAGCTGAGAGCATTCTAAGGTTCTATGCTTGGGTCCTTGACCAACAGTGCACGGTGTGTGAAACGTGCGCCATTGCCAATCGCACGAAGAATGTTCGCAGACCAAATGCAAAAACTCTACAAGAGTCACTAAACACAGACTCGCCTGCAAGTCACTGAGCAGAATCCCAAGTTCCAGGTTTGAAGCACCTCCTTCGAATCCCCATGATACAAACCTCCCTGTTGAAAGGAGCAACAACTCCCTGTTTCGGCACCGGATCTCTGACTCGAGCGCTTGGCCCTGGTCACTGCATGGGGATGCCTCAGCCAAAGCGCGCCAGTCGCTCCTGGGATGAATTGGCTGTGGGGTTAAAAAAAGTCGCATCCAAAATGGAACCCTGGTAAATGGAAACCATGACTAAAACAGGCGGTCCCCTGGTGGTTTAATTTTGACCCACACCCAATTGCTTCCGGGAGATCGGAGTCGGGTCCGACTCGTGGAACCCCGGCTGAGCTGCCGGGCTGCAGCGCTGCCCAGGACGGAGTCTGCGGCGCATACACTTGGGATGTCGAAGGGACCTGGGCCATTAGAGCGAACCGACCGGCAGATCGGGGGGTTGACGCGGAGGATTGGGCAAGTGCGTCGACCTCCGAGGTGCCAGCACTTGGCGCGTCAAACCTGGGTCAAGGGAGCCAGACTGTTGCGGGCTCATCTGGTTTCGCGAGTCGGACATTTTGAAGCTCGGCTTTCTTTGGTGCTGGTATTGGGGGAACAGGGGGGGTGGCGATGGGGGAAGTTTATGGATAGGCCTGGTTGCTGGGTGGCTTTGGCAGTGTGATGCTGGTTTGATCGCAAGTGTCCTCTTTCATGTCATGAGGCTCCCAAACAACCAAAGCATTGGACTAAAGCCTTGATCACCAATGGTATGCCTCCTTCATGTTCGCTCAAAACAAGTCAAGACTTTGATCCCTTGTCACTCCATCGACAGAACCCATGGTCACGCAACCAGCCTTGACACTTACTTTAAACCCAACTGCCCAATGCGATCGACGAGTTGCTGCACTCCCATGCTCGACCCCCGGTGCCTCCGGGTGACAGGCTCGCTGGCACAGCTCGGCGCGCAGGGCGCGCAGGGCGCGCAGGGCGCGCAGGGCGCGGAGGGCGCATTGTGCGGAGAAGCGCCTCCGACAGGCCAACGGTGACGCCGCTTCTACTTGGAGCTGCTAGTTTACCCGCGTGCTTTTGGAGAAATGTCTATCCTAGGCACCTCTTCCAAATGGTGAATTGACCGCGTCTCATGTTTTGGCACATTCCCAACATGAAGACTTAACAATTGGAGGAGTGAAGAGCCGCGTGTTCTGACGAAGAGACTTGCGTGCCCCGTATTGGCAAAAAGTCCGTGTCAGCAGCTGGACAGTGCAAACTGGCCAGCTGAACCCTCTGAGTACCAACCAAAGGACCTCCAATCCAGATTTAACCTTTCCGGGATATTCACAACGTGCACCGCCTGTGAAATAATCATCTCCAGAGAGTCGAGCACTCTCTTGGCGAGGTGTCCTCGGCAAGAAAGCCCACGGGGCGTTCTCAAGACGGACTGCCCCTCCAAGAAAACAATGGAGGTACACGTAGCAATTTCGCTAAACTGACTGTTTCAGAATGCCATCCCCTTCGGCACATATTCGACTGCCCCTCCAAGAAAACAATGGAGGTACACGTAGCAATTTCGCTAAACTGACTGTTTCAGAATGCCATCCCCTTTGGCACATATTCGAGCTCCCAGTCTTGCCATGCGAAACACCCTGAAATCATCCCCGACCCCAGCCAAAGGGTTTGCAGCCCAGCTGCTTGGTGGGACTTGGCAGTCTCGCGCTCCGAGTGCACTCGTCCAGCGGTGTCCAGAGGCTGTCCTGGATGAAACAGCAAGTGAAGCCCAAAACCCATCACTGGTTCTACTAATCCATGTGTAAATATAATATAGTGCATATCATATATATATATATATATCTGTATATATATATATGTATTATCCTAATTGGGGTTTGTGGCGCTGCTCAAGTCCCATCTCTGCCAGGCCAATTCTTTGGCTCCAGCTTTTCTCTTTCAGTCCAAAGCGCCCATAACCAGCTTCAGGGTAGCGTGCCTTGCTCTGGATATCCGATATGATATGGCAGACTTCCCTCAGACTGCACAACAAAGTTGTTCAATTCTTACGAGAAGCCCTATCCATCTATCAAGCAGAATATTGTATGTAGGACTCTCTCAAACCTGGCGAGGTTCTTCTGAAACCTCATTGCAGCCTGGCTGCGTTGGTGAGCTGTCACTGAAAGACGTCCATTGAGAGAATATGATCACAATGGCTTGCGAACGTCAAAAGAAAGGCTCCATCCCCCTCCCGATCAGTCAAACCCCATGGACCGTCGCCTTTTTGAATCCAAAGCTCCGGCGCTGAGTCGCTGAGCAAGAAAGTTCGGCCAGGCGCTGTACAAGGCCAAGGCTCTGCACAAGCAAACTGGCTACTGCAAAGGAAAGGGCAACTGAGCCCGCAGAGCTGCTTCTGCGGGCGGATCGGCCACCACGTCCCTCTTGCCAAAGTGCTCCAGCAAGAAGCGCCGGACCACCTCACCAACTTGGGCCTGGCCAAGGTCGCTGGGCGTGTCCGGAATGAAGTAGTGCGCCCTCGTGCCTGAAGCTGCCTCGGTCCGCTCGATGTGATACCACTTGTTGTTGACGAAGACCAGGTTCCGCCGGCGGTACTCCACGGCGTCCCAGCTCGGATCCACGTCCACCGCTTTCATCTTCTTCGCATGCAGGTGGTACTGCTGCGCAGCGCGTTCGCCTTCGAACGCCGCATGGGGCGCGTGAAACTGCACAGCCACCAGGCCTTCATCTCTGCCACTCGAAAGAACAAACGTTGGAGGATCCGGCATCTGCACGTAGTCGCGCACACTTCCATGCATGTTGCTCTCAATAGGTTTGAGGCCCGGATCCCGCGCGACCCGCGCATCGCTCATCACCAGGTCAAGGGCCGCCATGAGACTGCTAGCAGTCACATCCGCCATTCCCCTTCACGGCACTGATTCGCTCGGATCAGGCACGTTTTTGTTTTTTCTTGAGCCAAATGTCCCAATGACTGCAACCGCTGACCCTGCCCAACACATTGCGAGCAGCGGGACGCCATCAAAATCAGCATCTGCATCCGTGATGGTCCAAACCTGAGAGGACGTGGGTCATGCGCCCGTGTCAACCATCTTCATGCCCCTCTGGGGGGGGGGGGGGGCGTTTTTGCCAAATATGATCGCATTGGCAAGAAGCAAACAACTATTCACTAATGTTGACCCAGGATTCATAAACCCGTCCCAGTATTAGGGGGGTGTTCCCTCCAAAGGTGGTCTGAATCCCCACTAAAAGGGGACACCCCCCGATTAAAATCAACCAGGGGTTCTGCTTAATCCGGGGTCAACATTAGTTCCCGAACAGGGAAAGGAACACCAACCATTCACGGCCCGCTGGAAGCTGCCGCTGCCGCCTCTGGCGTCGAGCCGGGGCTGGAGGCCGCCTGCTTCCTCTGGCCTCACCGTCAGCCATGGGGAGCACAAGCTGCATGAGACCACTGCTAGCGTGATGCGTGTTCTCTTCGCCAACGTCAACGAGTGTTCAGGAGAGCAGAAATTGTTCATGTCCTGAAGCCCAACCAAGAGACGGGCCAAGAAATTGAAGGACTGAGTGCTCTGGGGCAGAACATGCGACAGAGTAGTAAGCATCTGCCAGCATCGAGAGAGACAAACATGCAAAGTGGCATCATTCAAGTCACAAATCGAGGTGCGTGCATCATCAGGATGGCAAAGCACATGACACGCGCCGAACCAGAGCTGCCGAGTGTGAGAAATCACAACAAGCATCTGAGAATCTGATATAATCCTGGTCAGCATCGAGCTAGGCAAAGCACGCATACGATGCAGCTCTGAGAAGCATCCTGAGAAGATCAAGCCAAGTTTCAAACAAAGCCCACGCAAGCATTGCAGACATGAAACAAAAGATCAAAGTGCAAACAACGCCCAAATGAAATATGGCACGAAAGATAAGACATACCAACTATGAGACTACTGTATCGATAAAAACCATGTAGTACTGAAAAAGCCTCAGAAACACATTCAAATGCCTGAACTCCTTCAACAACGGCATCCCCTACGCCCAGTTCTATTCGCCTTGCGGCTCCACGATTGGCTTCACATCTGGCCGACCGTCCCATGCAGGAGCAGATCGGACTGCGCCCTGTCCGCTCTGTCCGCCCTGTCCGCCCTGTCCTGCAGAGACCGAGGCGACCAAGGGTTGAAGGGCGGTCTTCCATCGTATCACGGTGACAACTCGTTGTGTGGGTCATGACCTCCTGGAGCAAGGGGTGTTTAGTGCCCAACCTGGCCTACGTAGGCGCGCCGCAGCGCAGGGCGGGCCTGTCAAGAAGCCAAGGCCCTGACAAAGGTTGACTTTAATCAGTCTGGGTGAATTATAATATTTCACCAACCTGAAATAGGGTGGTTGGGGTCGTGTGAGGTCGTTATAATTCGCCCAGATCAGTTCCCTTTGACAGTGCCCCGAAGCGTTCTCGTCTTGACACAGCCCTTGCTTGGTTACAAACAAGTCGGAAGACCGGCACCGGGCGCCAGGCGGGCTTAGGATGTTGGAACTTGGGCACCGTTCGCGCGGCCTCACAAGGCCCGCCCCCGCCGTGGGCAGCTTGTTTGTGCTTCTGCGGTTCTTCTGCCTCTTTTTGTTGCGCGTGTTTCTGTTCCCTTCATCGCAAAATGCATCTATCCACACACCAACATCGATCATGCAGAGCCCATCAACCAGGCAAAAGATGCATTGAGTCGCTTTGAAATCCGAGAAGGAACAGAGAGGCTTGGCATGGCTTGATTCTCAAGGAAAGAGAAAGGAAAGAGGAAGTAGAGAACGTAGAGGTTGCTGATAGCATCTCAGCCGGGCCTGCCGAGCGCACGGTGGATGCCTCAAGGCTTGACAACGTAGGATCCGAAAGCCTTTCGCTCCCCTTTATCCGGGGGTTTCGTAGTGGGTTTCGTGGTGAAATAAATCCTAAGCTCCCCTTCTATCTGAAAGGGGCCAGTTCAGAACTGGCCTTCTGGCATGGAAAAAGGTCGATGTGCGATCAAAAGAACACCTTCCAGTTCAACACCTGCTGGAATACGGTACATGTCTTGCTGAATCGACTGCGACCAATATCAGGGAACATGTACTTTGTTCAATTGAAAACATGTTTAGTCATCATGACCATCTTATTCGAGTGATGACGTAAACAAACCAGCCAAAAGAAACAATCATGGGCTCCGCCCGAGAACAATTCCCGTTGTCTTAGCGTTCCTCATGAGGCAGCTGATGCCTCCTGAGTGAGGAAGGAAACATGTTGCCTTGCATTGTCCACCTGAAGCACAATGGCTTAAACGGGTCTGAGTTCTGGGCCGTGGCGTGGAGATCATCCGCTGGGGGGAAGCCGCGCGCAGCGGGATGGACGCATGTGGCGGGGCAGCCGCACGTGGTGGGGAAGCCGCACGTGGTGGGGAAGCCGCTCGTGGCGGGGAAGCCGCATGTGGCGGAGCCGCACGTGGCGGGGAAACTGCCCGAGGGGAAGCTGTCCGCAAGGACGCGGCTGAGGAGACCCCAAAAGTCTTCTGCAGCCCGCTCCGAGGCCGGTCGCCCAAACTCCGGGCTGACCGGCTTTCCGACAGATGCACGTGCTCTACACTTGTGCGGAACTGGAGTATCTGATTTTCCCTCTCCAAATGCATCCTCCGCTCCTCGCTGACCCTGAGCTGTTCTTCCAGCTGCCTTCTCATGAGGTCCAGCTGCCGGTTCTCCTCCGCCAGCACTTCCGCCTGCCGATCCTGGGAGTCCTTGGCCTGGTCCTTGGCCGCCGAGGCTGCTGAGGCAGCGGCCTCCGCCTCCTCTGCGCGCCGCTCCTCCTCAAAGAGCTCCTGCCGCAGCTGCTGGCGGAGCCGCATCTGCTGCTGCAGCTCCTTCTCCTCCAGCTCCAACATCTCCAGCTGCTGCCGGTAGTGCCGCGCCAGGTCCCGCTTCTTCACGTCCCGCGCGTCCCGCTCCGCCAGGCCGCAGGGGCCGGAAGGACCGGCAGGACCGGAAGGACCGGCAGGACCGGAAGGACCGGAAGGACCGCTCGCCCCGCGCCCGTCATGGCCAAGGTGCCCCTGGTGCGCGTGCCCATTGCGCGAGGCACCGCCGGTGTCATGAGGCTTGGGCTCCTTGAGGCAGCTCTCGGAATTCCCATAGCTCCCGTTGGGCTGGGCCCGCTGCAGCTCGAGCATGGATGTGACACGATTCTGCAGACGCAGAAGGGTGTCGTCCAAATGCTCCCCACCAACTTCCCGGCCTTCCAACTCAACTGCCAGGTTCTTGGAACCCAGCCTGGTTGGCGGCTGACTGGGACAAGGACTTGGGATCTCATCTCCTTCCTGAATGCAGCTTAGCGAGCTGAGCATTCTATCATCGAAGATGCCCTCCCAGTTGGCCTTAGACTCTCAGACCATCCCTTGCGCTCTTGCAACATGGTACACCTCGAGCATGTGACTCCTGGACCCAAATTTGGTCAGCTGAGGCCGCATCCTCGATGGAAGAACTCAGCAGGCCAATGAACTGTTCCGAGTGCAAGAGCAAACGATTGGTACTGAGACCCTGGCTTTGCTCTGGCATCCGATCTTAGTCCTGATCTGTTGGATTGGCAATCTTGGCCGAAAACCGTGTTCACGCGCACACCATCCTTGCAAACAAGGCACCAGCCTCTGCACTCCTTTTTGACACCAGAAGAGCAAGATATGCTCGGCCAGCGAGATACATCAAAGGCCCAACGCCGGAGTCTGGGTCTCAGCTGCCCCTTTTTAGGAAGCGCTGTGTGCGCTGCTTGTCAGCAAGCAGCACCTGGTCTATCATCTGAAGGCCGCTGATTGCAGGTCAGCCTTGCTCAAGCCTACTGCCCGCTTTGGCAGCTCAACGCTCACTCTGGGCATGCACCAAGCTCTTTTTGGGCTGCATCTGCCCATTTCTTCATCTTGTCCCACATGTCCTTCGCATCAGCGATATGCTTGTGCCACGGGGTGAAACTGCACAGTGATTCTCACCTTGATTCTAGCGCTGAAACTTGCACACTTGTCGTTCAGAAACCTCCTTGCTGACAGAGTAGCTGGACCCTCTAGATACCAAAACCGGCTTGACTGGAGTCTGCTGAACCAACCGCTTCACCGCAAGTTTAGCGCAAAAAGCTCACTGGCTGGTGGCGTGTTGGACAAGGAATGACTAATTACTCTCCCCGCCCATGCCTTAGCAAGTCCCGCAAAAAAAATATAACATTGATGATGATATGATGTACAACCTTGAATATAGCTACAATCATGTTTATAAGTATAGTGATCTGGCATACCCAACAATTCGGCATCCTCAGCACCACACGTCGCGCATGCGCTCGTCTAGAACCAGCGGCATCGCTAGACTAGCAGGCAGGTTGGTTGCAACCTTGCCTTGCAACATGTTACAGATTGGTGGGAGAAAGTGCCAACGTGGCGCGGGTGATGCAACAAGCGCCGGAACGCCTGCGCCGATGCCATTTGTCGAACACCATCGCGAGTGAAAGAGTCAAGACTGTTACCCAATGACAATGGACGGTTCCTTCTTGGCTTGCTACAATAGCCCCTCCCGATTGCGACAATCTCATTCGAAGCTGAAAATCTAGCGAATTTCAGAACCCTCTTCGGACTTGCAGGCAACCTGAGCATCAAACAATTGCAAGAATCCGACAGTGCGAGCCAAAGGCTTCAATCAGCATTGGCGCTGGAGACGTTGCAGTTTAACTCCTTGCAATGAGGCTGCGAGGCACCTGCGGTTTCGTCTTGGCGTCGTCATACTCGACAGTCACGGTCTTGCCGTCTACGTCGCATGCAATGCTCCTGAACTCCGAATTCACAAACAGTGGATCATCGTGTGAATGAGCCCGTAAAACAGTTCGCAAAACGCGTTATTGGCAAGAAACAGAATCTCACAACCAAAAAGGAAAAGGTATTTCGGAGCGCAGAACCTAGATGCCAAGTATGCCTGAAAGAAACGAGCCAACAAAAGTCTCAGGCCAAGTCTTACAGCTTCATGAAAATGATGGGGCTGGGGCCTGCAAAACGATTTGAGGGGCCATATGGCCATGGGTCAGAAACCCGTACCCCCCAGTGAATATCCCAAAAATAGACTAAAATGGGTGGTGCACCTAGCCCACAATGGCACCATTGGTTTTGACCCACCGCCATATGCGGCTGAGAGTTCGCAGAAGGAAGAAAGCATGCCAAGAGGTACGGAGCTATGCAAGCTGCCAACGCAAGCAGATCTGCCCAACCAGACCACAACTGCGCAATGCAAGAAAACCCTGCCTAAGCAACTCGATGCAGGCACTGCAGGCAGGCATCTTCTGCAAAGAACCCTTTTCGGTGCTTTCGGGTTCACGCGGGCACCTGATTCATCGGAAAAGGCACCTTGACAACAAGTCCCACACCGACCTTCGGCTGCAAATATTAGCAGGTTGGCAATGCAAGCAGCGTGACTCCTTCTGTTTTGGGACCACCATAAGATGAATGACGTGACAGTTTGAAGAGAGCTACTTTCGAGCTGATGCACAAAGCAAAGAGCTTGGACTGCAGCCAAGCATCGCAACGCCGTCCACCTGCTCAGCTCTGCGGGGGTTCATTGGTAATTAAGGAAACAAAATGTTGGGATGTGCTCTGCGTAAAGTCGTCAGTCAGCATTGTGTATGAGTACATCGCTGATTGTCTGCCTGCTCGGCGATTCAGCATGGTGACTGTGGGAAGATTGAGAACATGTGGAAGAGACTGAAAGTAAGAAAGCACCGTCAAGAAGAAATCATCATGAAAGTCTCGCCGTTTCGCCGTCCTTCTTCAGGATGCGCTCGATCGCCCCTGAGCATCCAGAGCAAGTCATTCCCACACCTGGCAGGAAGTGACAAAGCATCTGCGCGTGCATTGCCCGACCAATCCTTTTCTATGCAATCTGCAGTGCACTCCATCCATCACACAAGCAGCAGTGAGTAGCTCAGAACCCCTAAAGCATCGTACATGTTTGTTGACTTGGCTATGAATGCGTACCCAAAACGGAACCCCGGTAAATGGAACCAAAGACTAAAACCTGCGGTCCCCTGGTGGTTTTATGTTGACCCAGTGAACATCCCAATCCCCACTAAAATAGACTAAAATGGGTGGTGCACCTACCCCAAAATGGTACCATTGGTGTTGACCCACGGACACTTCTCAGGATCCTGACAGCTTTCTCAGCCTTCAAACTTCACCGTCTTCGACATTGCCTCAGCTTCGCCGCTCGCTCGCCTGAAAACCCTAGCACTGATCCGGCAGGTTCAGCAGCAGCAAGTCGGCAAACTGCGTCTCTTCCCGCTGTTCGGTGATCGAACATTGCTGAATCGTGGGCACTAAAGTGGTATCATTGCAAGTTTTGTCCTGGTACTATCACAGGGGGCATTGTCCTGGTAATGTCGGCCGTGTGGGACTTGGGTGTGGCTCAAATTGACGACCAAAATGGCACCTTGGCAACTGGAGCCAAAGACTAAGACCCGCGCTTTCCCCCCGCTCTTTCATTCTGAGCCAGCCCCAAGGCCCGCGCTTCGCGGAGCTGCGCCCGCACACGCGTACACAAACGGCCCAGTCTGAGCCCAAATCTCGGCTCGGCCCCAACGAACACTCGGCAGCTGGATCACCCGTGTGGGTTCACGACACACAAAGAATGTGAATGCCGAAAACCTCGGGTGGCTGGACCACAGTCTGGCTTAGCTTGCATACTGGACTTGCTTCTGCAACCCAAACAATGGATCAAATGCAAAAAAGCGAAATGCGTAGTATTGACTCCCTCCCTGTCTCCTGGAGTCTCTCGATCTGCTAGCATCTAGTCCTGACTGGCTCACTTGCTCCAGTCGCTCCACAGGAACTGTCCACCCCGGCAAACAAATCGCGCCGGCAACTCAGCAACTCAACCAACAGCCCAAGACACCTACTTTTTTGGTATGCAAGTTCTTGCTCAGTGGAGATCTTGGTCCAGGCAGCCTCCCGGATACATCAACTTTGGGCCTTGAGTCTAAACGCCAAAGGCGGAAAGCAGAGTCAGCCCAAGAAAGCCTTGAGCAAAAACAAGACTGCATTGCCCAAAAGGCAGCAAAGAATTGGTGGAAAAACTCCGTCAAACGACAATGATTATGACAACGATAGCAAATTACTGGAAAACTCTGATATTGATAAATATGGCAAAATAATATACTACTGAGAACAATGAGAATCATGATCATCATGATGACAATGGTAAGAATGCAAAGCATGACCTTTAAAGTGTTTTTTGGGGGGAGATTGGCCTCATCCATGTAGGTTGACCAGCAATCGTCCGAATTCCAGAGCTTGCAGTCATGCCTGTGTCGGAAGGGACCTTTAAAGTTAATGACAATGAAAATAGCTGTAGTGATGCCACACACACACACACGCACATAGGCAAACCCCACCCCGGCCTCCTCCAGCAGGGCCATGACTCTTGCCGTGTCATCGCTTGCACTTCCGAACTTGATTTTCCCACTTGGTCAGTGTGGAGCCCCAATCCGGAAGAAACGAGTACAAGGGCAATTGAGTTCAGTTGAGAGAAGAACTGTAAGGCCGAAAAAGTCTCCAGTGACTCCAGTGTTTCCCAAACTTGAACCATTAAGTGATAGAGACAGGACCAACAAGTTGCGCTGTATACTGTCGTGTCAGTTGCCCGCTGTGATAAGCTGTGAGCGGCGTTCTTGAATCAGATTGCCGGTGCTAAGCATTCCGCCCACCAGCTGCCACCTGCTCCACATGGCATATATCTGCCTGCAGAATAGCATGGCCTCTCCTTTTGGTCTTCTCGGCTCGAGATGGTCGATGGGAATAAGCTGACAACCTTGTGATCAGCACACACGACGATGTTGAGATGGATGTATTCAATCAAATCAAGCTGCACGCGGAAGAATAACATAGTGGTGTGGGCGGTATTGCGATGCTGCCAGCTTCCATCCCACTCCATTCCTCATCTGAACCGCACAGGCCCTGGCCGTCCTTTGGATCGGCAGTTGCAATGCGCGCGGCTTTGACCCAAGTCTCATGTGCTGCTCTCTTCACCCTGACAGATGTGACAAAGGGTTGACGAAGCAAAGTGCGCACCCAATAGAGATACCAAGCCAGGCTGGCTGTTTCCCTGCTGTAGCCAAGTGGAACAAACCCCTGGCCACATTTGCAAAGCCAAAAACAGTGACTGCTGATATGTTCAGGATGTGGAAGAGCGGGTGTCTGCACGTGGCACACCCCCCATGCCATGTCCGTCAACATAGCTCCCTTCCCCGTGCGGATGGGCCAGGCCATGGTATGAATTTCAGAGCGCAACATGAGTTGCCCCTCCACGTTCAAAAACACCTCCATGTTTGTTGGTGTGCTCACGTCCGTGTCTATCTGCCTTCTTGAGTGGGCTCGATTCAATGAATTTAGAACAGCAGCAAACCCCCCAATGTCACCCTCCTTCCAATGGTTTGGTTTGGTTCAAATCCCCAAGCCACCAATCCGAACCACCAACTACGGGGGGATTTGAGCACATGCAAAAAGTCAGGCAATCAATCACCGCAAACATTATGTGGATACAATATGTTTGGTGTCAGATAAGTCGGATACAATCAATGTCCATTGAGCTCTGGGTATCCTCCTCTGCCATGCCTGTTTCTTTCCCTCCTTTGAAATGCTTGTTCCTGCGAGATACCAACATGGACTACCGCTCTTCCGCTGAGAGACACCTCCCACAGCGCGCGCAGCTTCCCCTGCGCACCAGCGCGCCTGACTCGGCTTCCAGCCACAAAGGCGGGCGGCCAACTCCTCGTACTCCTGGCGCTCCTGCACGAGGGAGATTGCGAGAACTCCAACAAATCAAGGGGGGAGTCGCGTGCACTCTGACAACAGGTAGGCCAGGTAGGCATGCAATCCAACACCACAAGCGATAAATTGTCTGAAGGTTGCGCGGCCTTCCAGCCGTTTTCTGCACCCCAGCCAACGAACACCCCAACTTCGCCACCCCAGGCCATGCCGCCCGTTTGCCCTCCTGCACACCCACCGACGACTGGATGCGGCTCTTTGCTTGCGCCAAGAGCTCCGAAGTCACCTGCCGAGGAAGGGCAAGCTGCGGTCAGTCACCATGCTGGTTGGGATTGGCACCCAAATGGCCGTGGGTCAACATCCCGTACCCCCACGGAACATCGCAATCCACAATAAAATACACTAACAGGGGTGGTGCACCTACCCCAAAATGGTCCCATTGGTTTTGACCCACAGCCAAATCAGTCAACAGCAGCGTTGCCCCAGAATCGGGTCAGTGGAGTCAACCAAAAGCCCGGGCAACAGCACGCGTCCCATGTGTCCTGCACGCCAGCCGCTGCAGCCAGGGATTCCTCAGGCCGAAGAGGGTGAAGGCCCTCCAGTGGATTTCCGCGGCGCTTTGGTCGTTGATCTTGAGGTTTCAGGCAAAACCGTGGCGACTTAAAGCCTTGACATAGGGAACGAAGCAAAGTCGATCTGCATCACACGTGACAAATCTTAGAGGAAAGCCCCCTCCAAAAAAATGTGCAGCACGGGAGGTCGGTGAAGTGCTCCTTCATGGCACTGCAACCCAAGGAATAACGGCAAAAAATGGACAGTGACACTCCCCTTTGGGGAAAGCTTGTAGTTCTGCTTGATCCACATGTTGCAACAGTTGTTGGCATACGGGACGAAGGCGTCCCTCTGGTTGGCTGAGTCGTGGTCGATCAAACCTTCTTATTCCCGCTCTCAATGCGGGTTGTCGTACATGGGGCTTGAGGAAGCACCAGCAATTTGGGGCCTCCACTCACCAACATACGCATGCCCGCCTATCATGGTGGCTCAAATCTGCCGTGATCTAAGCCACATGTGTCCGGTTTTGTTGTGGTTTTTGAGGAAATGCCTGAGCTGTATGAAGTCCTTGTTCAAGGATCCATGTTACTTGAAACGATCACTTGGGTATGAATTCCAGTCAGGGATCCTTTGGTGGGCATCATTTACCTGGGGATTTCCGTCCAATCGTTTTTGAAGGTAATCCCCTGTAAAGCTTAGAGCCTCTCACTTGGTCTGTTCCCCATACCTCAGCCCCGGCCGTCCTGACCATCTGCGGCTTCGAGGCAGGGACTGGCGTGACATTCCGAAGGCAAGGGCTCCATGGAACAAACTGAAGAAAAGTTCGGCGACTTAAGACAGAGTTCTTTGTTCAGTTACGCTCCCTAAGCGGCCCTCCTTCCTTTCTTCTTTGTCTCCTGACCCCCTCCCCATTTTTGGGGGGTGCGCATGTATTTTGGGATGTTTATGATTATTGTTATTGTTATTAGTATGATTATTACTATTATTATGATTTTCATTATTATCATTATTTTCATTATAAGTTATTATCACTATCATTGTCATTATCATTATCATTATTATGATTGGTAGTAGTATTACTATTATTTGCTTTTTTGTTTTCGTATTGGCCAGTAAAATGTCGTACTTTACATCATTTTCTCACAAAATGTACGTATTTTACACTAGCCCGTCAACATCCCCAGCATCATTTTCAACATCCTCCGCATGTCCCGCCAACATCCCCAGCATCACTCTCTATTGCTTGGCTTCCTGCGTTCTTGTGATAATTGCTTGCTGTCCGGCAAGGTAGGTAGGTACGTATGTTTGCATGTTAAAAAGGAGCGGAGGGGTTGCCGGGGGGGGGGGGGTGTGAGTGGGGTGGGCGGTCGAAAAAGTGATGATTCAAATCGGGGTGCAATTCAATCCGGTAAAAAACCAGAAAGCCCCCACGATGGTCGAAGAAGTGATGATTCAAATAGGGTGCAAGTCAACCTCGGTACAAAGTCTGAAAGTAGCGGGGGGTTGGGGGCGGCAACCTGATGCTCAAAGAAGTGATGATTCAATTAGGGGTGCATTTTAATCTCTGTAAAGAATATATATATATATATGAAGAAGCAGCGGGGGGTGGGGGGTCGAAAAAGCGATGATTCAAATTGGGGTGCAATCCTCTGAAAAACCATCTAAAAAGTAGCCGGGGGGTTGCGCGGGGGGGGGGGGTTCTGTGGGAAGGTCCTGGCCAAGGAGGTCAGCTGTGTTGTTGGGGAGCCTACGCTGGGGGCTTCGCGTGGCGCGAGGCTTCGCGACAAAATGGTGGCAGGGCTGTTCTTGTTATTCTGTTTTTGTTTTTGTGTTTTCTGCTCCCCCCCCCCACCCCCCTTGAAGAGCTCTCAAGAAAGGGCTTGATCAAAGGTTTCTGTGAGAACCCTTCATGGAAAGGAGTGCAAATCAATCAACACATCTTCAAATTACAACACGCTTTTAGCTAGTCGATTGCCAAGTGGCTAGCCTTCGCGGCGCAGAATGTATCACACAAGTGCCTTCGTGGACCTTCTGAAATTCCAGCCGAAGCTAGATACCATGTGAAAAGAAGACAACGCGAGCCAAACAGCCAGGTGACAATCTCTCTCGCGCACCTTGCAGCCTTGCGGATGGCCAACATGGCTGCCTGCGGGGCAGACTCTATGAGCCGTGGTCAACATCAACAGCATCAACGGACATGTTTTGATGAATTTTACAGAAACACAAAACGTGTAGCCAGTACTCGCACATTAAAGATTACAAAACGCAAAACGTGTATTGTTGTGGTTCCTACTCGTGTGAACATGTGCTTCGTAACTTGGACAAGTGTCAGTGCAAACTCATGAGCTTTCAACTTAAGCAGTCAGGCCGTGTTGCCATTGCTGTGGGAACAAGCAGATCAAGCCCTGTGGAATGCTTCCAAACCTGAGTTTGTCTCCAAATAGGGCAATTCTTAAATGTCTATTCTGCGGAAACAGCCCGAAAGGATACCCTCAAAAGAAATCACACCCATACATACCACCAACTTCTGACAGCTCGGGTCCCCCAACATTGTTCATGTTCACCAAGTTGATAGCGACCAATTGCCGGCCACCGATTGGTACAAACATGCTTGAAGACGTGTGTGTGTGTGTGTGTGTGTGTGTGTGTGTGTGTGTGTGTGTGTGTGTGTGTGTGTGTGTGTGTGTGTGTGTGTGTGTGTGTGTGTGTGTGTGTGTGTGTGTGTGTGTGTGTGTGTGTGTGTGTGTGTGTGTGTGTGTGTGTGTGTGTGTGTGTGTGTGTGTGTGTGTGTGTGTGTGTGTGTGTGTGTGTGTGTGTGTGTGTGTGTGTGTGTGTGTGTGTGTGTGTGTGTGTGTGTGTGTGTGTGTGTGTGTGTGTGTGTGTGTGTGTGTGTGTGTGTGTGTGTGTGTGTGTGTGTGTGTGTGTGTGTGTGTGTGTGTGTGTGTGTGTGTGTGTGTGTGTGTGTGTGTGTGTGTGTGTGTGTGTGTGTGTGTGTGTGTGTGTGTGTGTGTGTGTGTGTGTGTGTGTGTGTGTGTGTGTGTGTGTGTGTGTGTGTGTGTGTGTGTGTGTGTGTGTGTGTGTGTGTGTGTGTGTGTGTGTGTGTGTGTGTGTGTGTGTGTGTGTGTGTGTGTGTGTGTGTGTGTGTGTGTGTGTGTGTGTGTGTGTGTGTGTGTGTGTGTGTGTGTGTGTGTGGGTGTGTGTGTGTGTGTGTGTGTGTGTGTGTGTGTGTGTGTGTGTGTGTGTGTGTGTGTGTGTGTGTGTGTGTGTGTGTGTGTGTGTGTGTGTGTGTGTGTGTGTGTGTGTGTGTGTGTGTGTGTGTGTGTGTGTGTGTGTGTGTGTGTGTGTGTGTGTGTGTGTGTGTGTGTGGTGTGTGTGTGTGTGTGTGTGTGTGTGTGTGTGTGTGTGTGTGTGTGTGTGTGTGTGTGTGTGTGTGTGTGTGTGTGTGTGTGTGTGTGTGTGTGTGTGTGTGTGTGTGTGTGTGTGTGTGTGTGTGTGTGTGTGTGTGTGTGTGTGTGTGTGTGTGTGTGTGTGTGTGTGTGTGTGTGTGTGTGTGTGTGTGTGTGTGTGTGTGTGTGTGTGTGTGTGTGTGTGTGTGTGTGTGTGTGTGTGTGTGTGTGTGTGTGTGTGTGTGTGTGTGTGTGTGTGTGTGTGTGTGTGTGTGTGTGTGTGTGTGTGTGTGTGTGTGTGTGTGTGTGTGTGTGTGTGTGTGTGTGTGTGTGTGTGTGTGTGTGTGTGTGTGTGTGTGTGTGTGTGTGTGTGTGTGTGTGTGTGTGTGTGTGTGTGTGTGTGTGTGTGTGTGTGTGTGTGTGTGTGTGTGTGTGTGTGTGTGTGTGTGTGTGTGTGTGTGTGTGTGTGTGTGTGTGTGTGTGTGTGTGTGTGTGTGTGTGTGTGTGTGTGTGTGTGTGTGTGTGTGTGTGTGTGTGTGTGTGTGTGTGTGTGTGTGTGTGTGTGTGTGTGTGTGTGTGTGTGTGTGTGTGTGTGTGTGTGTGTGTGTGTGTGTGTGTGTGTGTGTGTGTGTGTGTGTGTGTGTGTGTGTGTGTGTGTGTGTGTGTGTGTGTGTGTGTGTGTGTGTGTGTGTGTGTGTGTGTGTGTGTGTGTGTGTGTGTGTGTGTGTGTGTGTGTGTGTGTGTGTGTGTGTGTGTGTGTGTGTGTGTGTGTGTGTGTGTGTGTGTGTGTGTGTGTGTGTGTGTGTGTGTGTGTGTGTGTGTGTGTGTGTGTGTGTGTGTGTGTGTGTGTGTGTGTGTGTGTGTGTGCGTGTGTGTGCGCGTGTTGTGCGCTGTGCTCTTAGTTTCTGAAGAGCTGTTCAAGTATTGACAGCCGCATCACAATACACTGGTGGACTGCCTCTAGGGGCACCTTTCTGAACTCCTTTCAGCCCTAGGTGTCCTTTTAGGGGAAACAGATGGCCCTGGGAAACCACCAACCAGGAATCGCCATCTATTTTTTCCACCAAAACCACCAAAAAGGAGACCGACGCTTTCAGCTTGAAACAAAATGCGCGGTGGATCACTCCAGTGATCCGTGGCCAGTCGCGACTCGCCTCGCGTGCCAGAGAGGCCAGGTCCGCCCCGCTGAAGCCGTCGGCTGCTTTGGCCAGGCTCGGCAGGTCCTGAGAAGCAAACCCAAAGGTGGCACCCCCAAGACGTGCCTCCTTTCGGTTCGTTGATCCCTTGACCTTCGGAGGGCGATGCCATAAAACCCGTCTTCGGGGTGGTCCCTTGACCTCGTGGCACCCCTGGTTGGTTGGTTGGTTGATCCCTGGACTTGTGGGCGATGCCGTAAAACCCGTCTTTTTGAGTGTGGCTGGGATCGCAGTTTCCCTTCTCCGACCAAAGGGGGCAAGGGGGCTGGGATTAGTTGCTTTTGTCGCGCGTAAGGGGGTTTCTGCTTCTTCTGATTCTTCTTCTGGAGCTACATACTGTCCAGCACATCAAGCTTTAAGCCAATCAAAGTGCAAGGTATCTCGATCTTAAAGAGCCATCTTCAGCTCCATGAACACGATGCCATGAGATGGACAGCTCGCACAGGGAACGATACACATGTCTCTCTCCCGGCGATTCACAACTTGCGTCATTGAGGCTGGCTCCACGTCAGCGGCAAGGGGAAGCCTCAGGCCAGTGGTGGCTCAGTCCGGAAGTTGTCGAGCGTAAGAATTGACATCCCCGACAACAGGTGGCCATGGGTCAAAATCGCGTACCCACAGTGAACATCCCAATCCAACCACTACAATAGGTCTTATTTTTTTTGTCGTACACTTACCCCAAAATGGTACCAAAACGGTTTTGACCCACAGCCAAAGTGAGAAAGAAAGGCAAGGGGCCCAAGAGCCGGCGCCGTGAAGGCACCAGTCGGTTGGCTGAACCTTTCAAGATCCAGGCCCAACGCAAACGTTGCGCTCAGGCCCTAGCTTGCGCATGTGCGTCTGCAAGATTTCTAACCGGCCAGCCTCGGTGGACAGAGGGGCTCTAGGCTCTAGGCTCTATCTCGGGAGCCAGAAGGAGTCAAGTGCAGGAAGGAAATGGAATCACTGTGATGGGAAGTCTCTGCCTTTGGCACAGCAAGATTCGAGCAACATGTCCGCACTCCAGATGCCTCAGATCTGCGCTGCAGATGGCAAGGGCACGTAGAGAAGGCGATCCAAGCGGCCTCAGCTGGAGCTCTTTTTAGAGGATCCGAGAGGATCGCTTGATGCTTGGACCATCTCGGACCTGCAAAGATTATTGCGATGATCTTTCAAGCTGAAGTATCCGGACCTTTGGCGGATAAAAAGAAATGCATCAATACCAGGAATCTGTGATGGCATGCTTTTCGGGTCCTGGGCACCTTGAACAGGTTATGTTTCTTTGAGGGTACCCTTCTCAGGTTAGCTTGAAGGAAAACATAAACATGTTTTGGAGGGGGGAGGGTCTCCCTACTTTGACACATACCCTAATATGATCATAGGTGGCAAAGATATGGCCAGCAACACGTGCAAATCAAAAGAGAAGTCACTCCGGTATCCGGATCTTCCTGCTTAGCGCCCGACCTGGCCGAAGCATTGCTGGATCAACGATATCTGGACGGTTCGTGGCAGCAATGACATAGACCTGATCAGGACAAAACACAGCAGCCAGCTGCGGGAAGGAAAACAACATCCAGTCAGACAGCGCTGAAGTGACGCAGCAGCGCAGTTAGAACCGTTCAATCTTTCAAGAGTCAACATGCAAACAAATCACCGCTGACATCCTTTAACTCTTCCAGCAACAATGAAAAAAATGAAGCCGGCTTCCGCTCAGTATCAGTCTTGATCCGATTTTCCCCGAGCCTGCGATCGCGACTGCACGCCATCCATCTCCGTGAGCATCTGATTCACAACCTCGGGGACCGTGAGCGGCGCCGCGGTGCTTTGGGGAGGGCCAAGGCTTCTCTGAGACTGTTCTGCTGTAACAACAACCACGCACTGAGGAATAAATACCGAATCATTTATCCCGGGTCAAAATCTGACCCACCAACCCCAAACAGCCGAATCATCGGCGTCACTCAATACTCTGGCCTGGCCTTGGTGAGATCCAAACGGAAGCGCGCAAACAAGCAGGGAGCCCTCCAAACTAGGCTGATTCGACCCAAAAATCAAGATACAAACAAGCCACCCAACCCTGAGACCCGGACAAAAATACTGTTTCCACAAGAGGGGCCTTGGGAAATTGTTTGGCCCCCCTTTGCTTTTTGTGGTTGACAAACTTTTGTGGTTGCAACTTAGAGGGTTTCTGTTGGTGGTTTAAAGATACGGGGTCTGCTACTTGGGTTTGTCTCAAGATAGGCGTTTCCTCTGGGTCGCGTTCATTTGGTTTCCTTTAAGCCAACCCCAAAAAGGGGCATCACCCAAAAAAACGACACTATGTGGGTGTGGCTCAACATTCAAGAGCTAGAATCACGCGGTTTTAGTCGTTGTTTTCAATTGCCCGGGTTCCTTTTTGGGTACCCATTTTTGACCCACTGCCATGTTGAGACCCCCAAGCTGAGCTCCTGGCGCGCTCGGAGGAGCCGGTGCCCTCGGAGGAGCGCCGCGGCACCAAGGCGTCCAGCTCGTCGAAGAAGATCACGCCTCGGCGTCGGCAAGGCTCGGGACATCGTGGCTCACGGGAAGTTGGTCTAAAGTGGTACCCATCTGACAGGAGAGTCACGGCCCACCGGGAAATTTTGGTCGAAAGTGGTACAGGGATTTGACAAAGTCGTGCCTCCGTTTGCGGCATTGCTTAAATTCCATGGGGGAGAGGGTTTCGACCAAGTCGTGCCTTCTTCCAAACTGCATAGGAACTCTGCATGATTGAAGGGATAGGCTTTTGGTAGCCACCCACCGATTAACATGGAATCTGACAGGGGGGTCCTCGAAGACCATTTGCCTTTTAACAGAACCCCCTGTCAGGTTCCGCGTGAGTTGGAGGGAGGATAGTTTGTCTAATGATTGGCCCGTGACTAAAGCCACCTTTTGTACTACACTCTCTCACCAGCCCGCAGAGCACAGGCCAAACATATTGGTTTCACAGAAGCTGGAGTCCACAACAGTGTAGGAGAATGGAGAAAAGTCGATCTACTTCCCAAGTCTTGAGCAATACGCGTCACCAGAAAAGGAGACAACGAAAATTGAGAAAAGCAAGAAAGGCATGCACAATTGCCATGGGCGAGTTCTTGCGCAAGGTTGCATGAGAAAAGGAGAAAAACATTTGGAGAAAAACAAAAGTTGCAGGAGTCTTACAACTTACAGCTCCCCCTTGTGAGTCTGACTCCTCGCATTACCGTTGCCGGAATCACTCAGACCTGTCCACTCCAACTTCGGACATATGGTGGCCACTTTACGGAAATATGGTATGTAAGCCCCTCACATCAGCCTTCTCTCTCTCACCGATTTCTGCGCCATTTGGGGGCCGACAAGGAGAAGAGCTTCGAGCTCTCTGGAAGACCAGCCGAACCGCACGCTCTGACCTGAACTCTGAAGGAGTCAAGCTGGGTCCATCAAAGTGACATCCGGCATCTTCAAAATTTGCCTCGAATGGCAATTTAAATTTCGACCCCTCAAAGTGTTCACTTGAATGGACCCACAGGACCCAAGTGGATCCCAGCACCGAGCTCCTCACTCCCCGACGTATTTGTTCAACAACTCCGGGCCCTGCGCGGATTGCAGGCTTGAGAAGAGCTCTGCCAACTGCAAAGATTGCGGAGGAAAAAGAAGCATGCAACGCTCACGACACCAACCTTGACGGCGATGAAGTTGGCACCACTCTGGTTTGCAGTTGCCTGGCAGCGCTCCAAACTGGAGAAATCCAGCCACCTCTGCATTCGGCAGATTTGGGCAGGCAGGTCATCCTGGGTTTCTCAAAAGGAAATGCGAACCCCGAAAATGGGGTTCCTTGATTTCTCTTTCAACAATCCCAAAAAAAGGATCCCTGAACACAAGACACGGCCGTCCTTCGAGCATCGATTCACTCAGCACTCGCGTCACCCAGCCTTCGCCAGCAGAGTTTTGCCGCAGCCTGGCGGCCCGAAGAGCAGCACGCCCACGGGCACAGTCAGACCTCAGCCAGGCCAGGGCTACATTCGCTCGAACAATCGCCCTGCGAAGGCAACGAACAAACCACCTTTTTGGTCGTAAGATGTGCTCAGTGTCGTTTTGACAACTGAAAATGAGTCAGAATCAAAGCCTGGCACTAAAATGGTGCACGCAGGACCATGTAAAGAATGAACAAGGCGGCTGCACCCATTGTGGTCGGGACTATCCCTTACTGACCTTCATCTACCCGGGTTCTGATTGTGGCTCAAATGGAGCTGAAAGCCTGGAAACTATGATCAAGCAGGGCGGGCCACTGGCAGGTAGGCACCTTGTGCCATGGGCGCTTGATTTGGAAGCCCATAGCCGGGCCCGTAGACCGGGTACATGCCTGGGACACCAAATTGCTGGGCCGGCGGTGCGGCCGCTGGTGCGGCCGGCCCCGGCGCGGGCGGCGCCGGCGCCGGCGCTGCTGGCCGGGCATGCGGCGTCTGCGGCAGTCCGAAGCCCAAAGGCTCCCGGGCTCGGAAGTAGCTGTGGAGGTCCTCACTGGAAAAAGAATCCTCTGATGCCATATTGCCAATTCTAGATGCGAGCAAGCGGCTGGAGCAGTCAGATTCACCTTGGAAAAAATTGCACTCATCTCCAAAAAACGTGCGCGCAGGCAGGAAGTATTCGACATCGCAAATCAATGGCAAGGCGCTGTTTTCACCCTGCTCTCGTACTCCACGGTCGCCTCCTGCCGTGCCAGGTCCAGGCGTGCGATCTCCCCAACAATCCAGCGGCTCGCCTGGCAAAGCCAAGGATGTGCTCATCTTCACTTGCAACCCGAAACTGATCAACCACCGCAGACCCAAAAAAAGAGTTTGGGAATCTCCAGGATCACTCTCCTAATCCACCAGGCTTATTCATCGACATGAAAAGAATTATGCCACTGGGATGACTACAGCAGAGTGACACCGACGACCAACAGCAATGAGGACAATGCGTAATTTCAACCATCCAATGCAAACAAGCGGCGCTGGCAGAGTAAACCTCCACGGAAGTGCCAAGTGTCAAACCATTGTGGCTTGGGCTCTCTTTTGCTCCCAGCGGGCGAAAGTACTCCTCGGCACTGCAATCTGGGGCTGCCACATCCACAAGACCAAGCGACCCAATGAAAATCAATCAACAGCCGCCCCGGTCATATATTGCTGATTCAATTTGGAAGCAATATGGGTATGTCCAAAACGGGGGGACCCGAAAAATGGTGTTCCTTTCGGCTCCTCTTTCAACCAAGGCGAAAAGGCACACACACACACATGGACAGTGATGCGCCCAGGGCTCCGAGAGATTGGGCGCCCGCAAGTTGATGACCTTGCGCAAATCGCCTGAGCCAATGCATACGCTTCGTCCCCATGTGGCACAGGGAACTCAACCCCGGCCACGAAGCGAATTGAATCAAACACCTTCGGTTCGGACTTCTTTCGCATCTACTTGAGTTGGACAAAAGCACGGCTTGAACCAAGATGGCGAAAGAAGCATGCCAATTGAGCGCTCCCCTGACCGAACCCGTTGACTGCAGCGATATCTTGCCAGGTGTCCATGTTGCACAATCACTTCGGATTTTGCAGAGTCGACGTGAACAATGGTCGATATGACCCACTGTCCACTCCTGGGCAATGAAGCACTCGCATCTTGCCATGCAACTCACGGTGACCGACTGCCCCCAACCTCCAAACCAACAACATCCCACTCGGAATTGTCACAAAATTGGAAAAAAAGGTGGTGTCCCTTTCAATAGCCCACAACTGTACAACTCCCCTGGCTCGAGATCCAATTGAGGCTCGACCTGGACAGGACCTGCACCCGCTCCCCCACTTGGAAGCTCGGCTTGTCCACCGGCCTCAGTTTTCGCCGGAACGGCCGGCTCGGCGCTGATGGCTCATCTGATTCAAATCATCTGCGACCCTCGGTGGACATCGGTTTCATGGAAATTTGTGTACCACGAGGTTGTTCTCCATTCAAGTTCATAGCCATATCAGTTTCAATGTGCAAGTCTTGGCCCGTCAAACCAACACAGTCAACCGTGTCAAGTGCATGTTGCATTGCGCAGGGGGAAGCTGAAGGGATGTCGACTTGTATAACAAGGACTAGCTCCGCTCCTCAGCCAAAGGTACGTGGGGTCGGAGACCTCGCTGTGAGGTTCCGGCACCATAGAATCCACAGATTCCTGCTTGGAGCTGAGCTCCACAGTGGATTCCACCACGGATTTGGAGGCCACAGCTGCGTACTTGGCCGCCAAGTCCTTATCTGCGCTGAATTCTTGCTTGGATCTGTATGTCATGTGGACCTCGGCTTTTGCTCCCCCAACCAAACATCATCTGTTTGATTCTGGTCCATGCTTCATGAGCCTTGATATACAAAGTAATGCCAAGGCATATCCTTCTAAAGGCTCTGCCTCTTTGTTCGAATCAAACACGTCAACATGATGCAGCTTAAATGGCAATGCTGGCAGCTACGCTGACAAGGTGCGTAGGTCTCCATGACTGTTGACTTCTGAGCCTGAGATGTCTCCACCAGCGATCCCAGATCATCGCCAGGCAGGAAAATCTGGAGCTCCACCTCTGCAGCAGCTTTTTGGGCAGTTTGGCTAACTCAAGCTCTGCATGCTTGCGCACTGGCAGCTCCCGACTCGGCGTTTGCAGCACTCAGGATAAAACCTGAAGTTGGTGAAAAGTCAAAGCTAGCAGATTCTGCTCAGTGGTGTAAAGCATGAGGGAACCAGGGACAGTTACTCGCCGGTCAAGTCTTTGGCTCCTGACATTCGCCCCACAGCCTGTGCCAGCAATACCCTAGCCACCCCCCGCACATTTTTGTTCAAGAGATGTGGCTGTGGGAATGGAATCCTGGTAAAGGGACACATGCACTAAAACCTGCGGTCCCCTGGTTTAATTTTGACCCCTACCCATATACCCCAGATTGGTTTGGATTGGTTTGGGCTTCGCTCCAAACCTCTTTTGGAGCTGTCCGCCTCGCCGCGCTCCTCGAAGTCTCGCATGATTCGCCTCGGATGTCGCCATAGCACCACCAAAAACCAAACATGTGGCTGTGGCTCCAAAAACCGGTACGAAAATGGAACCCTGGTAAGAGGAAACTTGGACCAAAACCTGCGTAACCCCTCCTGGTTAAGTTTGAGCCACACCCATGTCTCAACATCCAACTGTGAACCAGGGCTGGGCTTCGAGCCTTCATTTAGCTCCCCCCTTACGGGAGGCCAGCTGGTTACGTTAGCCTGTTGCTCCCTGCTGTGAAAAGGATGATCTACTCTCATGGCCGCACGGTTTTTTTTGCCCTGTGCCAAAGATCAGGGAACCGGACTCGGGGTCACCCACCAGCAATTGAAGAAGAAGAACGTGCAACCGGTCGTTCGCCCTTAGGCTGGGACCCACCAGCCTGGTTGAAATCAGTTTTTTCCCCCCAGAACCTGAAGGAAAGTCGGGACGCCAGGAGGTCATCTGCCCGGCCATGGGGTCGGCGATGGGTATGGTGGCTTCGCCCACCGCGACATCCGCGCCATCCACTACAGCCAGGAGCACCACCTTCACGAACTGCTCCTCAGCACGGCGCAGCGACCGAAAACCCATTGACACTTGGCCATCGGTCAAAACCCAAATCGTACCCCCAGTGAACATCCCAATCCCCACTAACATAGGTTCTCAAATGGGTGGTGAATGCACCTACCCCAAAATGGTACCATTGGTGTTGACCCACGGCCACTTGACTCCAACATGGTTGTGCATTGCAACGCTCTTTTTTCTAGGCCTTATGACCTCCATCTTCAGCAAAACCCATTGACTTTGGCCTAATATAGAAAAATGGTTGATAAAGGCTTTACTATAACCCCGATTAAACTGGGAAGAACAGGGAAGAAGACCCTAAAATGGCCGAAAGGGGGTTTGGTCGCACTTGGGGATAAACTTTGGTTGGAATCCCCGCAAGGCTGGTGGACGTAAAGCCC